ACTTCTACTAATTAAACCTTCCCCCTCTTTTGGTTTATCTTCTTTTTGGATCAGCTAAAAATAAAATCTCAGTAGGTTTCAGTCAAGTTATAATAAAGTGTTAACTTTCAATTAAAATAGGTGTACTTACCACATTCTATAAATCAGTTTGGATACATGTTTGAAAGTACCTTAAAAATAGGATCACTGTAATTTCTCATATTTAGGCGAGTAGTAGGATAAATATGAACATAGAGCTTTTTTCACTTAACCCAAGACTCGAGGAAAGATGTGAAAGTCGGGCGAACTCTAATGAGAGCGTTCCTATTCAGTTTGTGTCTAAACATCTTGCTTTAAAAACTGAACAAGAAAAGTCACACTCACTTTGTTTCCACGAAAACGTCGAGTAGTTAAAAAGAGCTTGAATTTAATTTGATACTATATTCAAAATCTCTTATGGGGCTCTTTGCATAGCTTAGCCACGCGTAATAACTTGTTTCAATTCTGTTCTACCTACTTGTTTTTTTTTTTTTTTTTTTTTTTTACAAAGACTAATATAAGATGTATGTATTTGTATGCACAACATTCATAAATTATATTTTCATCTCAACTGTAATTATTGTTTTTGGCAATTTATTTACTTACAATTTAATTTTTTTTAAACTTATCTTTCCAATGATATATTAATCCATCCGTTAGCAAGCAAAACTAAGCATATATAAATAATTGCAGAGAAATTTTACACTTAGTTTATGCACCTTTAGACATTTGGAAGAATGATGAAATAGACCAACAATGGATAATATACAACTTGTCGGTTTTTTCTCACTTTAGCTTAGCTCTATTTTTAAAATCAATGAGGTTTTTCAAATTTTTTTAAACGTTTGATTTGAGGAATGCTGTTTTTGTATGGTAGTTTCAAAAATGAACGTTTACTTGTGATGTTGTATTTGTACTCTACATTCACCACACAAACTAAAAAGGCAAATAGAGATATTCTTATATAGGCTATTAATAAGTAACATGACATTTATAACAAGCAAATTTACTTGATCTTTTTGACAAATTCTTATAAAATACAAAATTTGTCATAAAAAATAATAATGCCTGAGTTCAACCACTTATACAGTGGGTCCCGTAACTCTCTGGACAAATGTAAATTGCAAGGGACAATGAAAATTAGTAAATTTTATGCAGTTTTCAATGATACCTTATTTGTTAAGAACTGATAAATAATAACACAGTAATGTGCTCTTTTCGTAATGCGTGACCACTTTTCTCCATTTAAACAATGCTAATACTCCTTTTACATTGTCTAAATATCTTTACAATCATCTGTTATACGACAATCAGGAGTTTTAAAACATAACAGCTGATTGAATAATTTGTGTTTGTTTATATAATGTTGTTTATATAGTTGTTTGTTTATTACTGCAAGTCTTTAGTAGTTGCTTAGGATTCTTTGAACCTAGTTAATTATTTATTATTATTATTTAAACACATCAAAGGGGTACTGTGATATAGTCTACTTTTTTGGAATGGCTCATGGCAGTGCAAGAGGAGCGGCGAGATTGTATGCAGAACACTATCCGAACAGGCAATGTCCTGTATAACCATAACATTCAGTGTTCAGACAACAATACTTTTATAAATAACAAAAACAAATAATTCAATCAGCTGTTATGTTTCAAAACTCCTGATCGACGTATAACAGATGATTGTAAAGATATTTAGACAATGTAAGAGTATTTGCATTGTTTAAAAGGAGAAAAGTGGCCATGCATTACGAAAAGAGCACATTTCTCTGTTATTATTTATCAGTTCTTAACAAATAAGGTATCATTAAAAACTAAATGAAATTTACTAACTTTTGTCTCTTGCAATTTTTTTTTAATTTAACGGTTTTCGTGAAATTTGGCATCAAATATTTTAAATGGCCGCCATTTTGAAACGGTTATGATTTTTTAGTAGAATTTTAATCGAAAATAGGTCATAATAACATAAACATTTTTGCATAGTCTCAACGCTGTATCTCAAACCATTTATGAGTTATTAATTTGTTTGTAAAAAACACATAAATACAGACAGACGGTAAACTAGGCACCACAGACCCATTTTCCTAAGGTGAAATGTGTTTGTCTTTACCTAAGCAATAACGCTACACATCCTACACTAAACGATTCAGATATACATGTTATTATCATTGTTATTGTTATTCTTAATCATTCTATTTGTTATTGTTATTGTTATGTCATTGTATTATAGCTATTATTGTTGATTGATTGTATTGATATAATCGATGATGAAATGTTGTTTTGTTGTATAGTTTCTAAGTCAGTCTTGAAGTTTATATAATCTTTATTTATAATCTTAACTGATTGGTATTATTATAAATGGCATTGCCGTGGGAAATAAAAATAAATAAATAAATAAAATTACATAAATTTGTCTAGAGAGTTACGGGACACCCTGTTTATCCTCTTAAAATAAAAACATCGAAAATGTTACGTACCGTTTTGATCAATATAATAACTTACACACTTCATATACCATGGTATATCTCTTCCCGTATGTAACGTCACTGGACTGTAAAGCCTTGGTGCAAACCGCTGATGACATAAGTTTAACGGTATAATGTATAGGAGTATTGGCATTGTACGCATGGAGGTGTAGCTCTAGGTTATACCATTGCATGTATTTGCTATTTAAGGGAATGTGCGTACTAACTTTTTATTTCCAACGAAGAAAATCGATATAGAATATGTAATACAATATGATAGTATATACATAGAGTCAAGCTACCAAAGATGTGAAATAAAAAATATAATTGCCTTTCGGTCGTTTAGTTGTAAAACATGACATTCAAAGTCCGATTTGTTGTGACAGGTTTCAGGAAAGGAGACATGTGTTTACAGATGTTTTGAATTGATATGCAAATCAAATAAAACAAATACTTCAATCAATTTCATGTTTTCCAGATTTCGTTTTATTTAGAAATCAATGAGAAATTAATACACCTTGTTTATTTTCTACTTTGTAAAAAAAATATTTTTGAATACAGTTTGGATTGTTGCATGACTCAACAAAATAACAAGGTAGAAATATTCAGGAAACGCTGTGCTAATATATAATTTCATCTTTGGACTAATTAACTACAACCATTGATAGACATCCCATCTATATGTACCAGCTGTAGCATTAAAAAAAACAAAAAAAAAACGTAGTTGTGTAAGCCAGTCACAAAATGCGCTAGTGTCTAAAATTCTATTTTATGCCTTATTCCCAGGTTAATTGTTTGTTGTTGAGGTTGTTTTTGCTCACCAGGTTGATGGTCATAACAACTGCTATAACTCATTATAAGTCATTCCCTAAAATTAGACTTGGTAAAAAGGTTAAGTGTATATGACAGAATTTAGTAACTTAGATCAGCGCAATCCGTAGGTGGGTAAAATCAACTACGACGATTTTGAAAAAGAATCTGGCTACAAATTTAACATGGGGATGGAATGTCTAGTTGTATTAGTAGTCAGTATGTTGGAACAAACGTAACCTGCTTTTTAAATTGAATAATAAATGGTAAATGAATGTTTAAATATTTCTGACACTACTGCAATACCCTGGAATGTGTTTACTCATTTTAGTGTATCCTGTGGTGTTATTGTTACTATGTATGAACTTCTTGAATGTACAGTGGTTGCTAGTTTACGAGGGGATATGTTTAATCAATGGAGTAACACAGACCAGGTGTGTGATTGTGGAGGGACAATTAACAGCCGTGTTGGACACAGGGGAGGTCGTTCAGTAATACAATTGTTTGGGATATTGTGGCAAATAATTGTAGTCAGCTGTAAACAAACTATGGTTTACATTAAGTTTAATTTGGTTTAATCTAATAAAAACAACCATAAAACAAACAAATTTCATCCCCGAAATCTTTGAGGTTAATAAAATGATCATAAATATTTTAAATGAAAGACTTGAGTTTCTAAGTTAAAAAATATGATAGAAATAATATTTCTTTTTTATATATAGGCTTATTTTAATTTTAAGGATACATGTGAGCATGATACAATGTTTCTTGTTCAGTTCTAGTTTCAGGATATTTCAATTATTTCCTCCATCTTTTAAATCTAAATAATCCCCCCTGCGGTTTCGGGGTTAGAATAGGATCGCAGCCCTCCCGGGCTTGTCGTAAGAGGCGACTAAAAGGGTGACTGACGTCCTCACTGGGAGTCCCTGGGAGTGCCCCTGTTGTGTTGCAGGGGTTGATGTGTGCTCTGCACTGCCGATGGGTATTCCCAGTGTGTCGTGAGGAGCCAGCCACTTCGGTCCTTGGTCAGGAAGTGCGGCATGGATGCAGAGGTCGGGCTCTGCATTGCAACAGGCGACCCCCGGCACGTCAGGTATCCGGTGCTGGGCAAACGGAGGTCGGGCCCCGGGGAACTGGGGTAGGGGATTGTCCCCGAGGGTATACCCGTTCCTGACTAAATCCGGGCCGTCTCTTGCCGCACGATGCGCTGGTAAACACATGCATGGCTTGTCAAAACCCCCCACCCAACACATTATTTAACAGCAGCTCAATTGAGCAAAAATCGAAGTCGGAAATGGAGTGGAGCCCTTTTGGGCGTAGCTCCAAGGTCAAGAGGTCGCCACCAGCGAACAACGTTAAGGCAACTCCACCGCCTGCAACCTTTAAGGGCTCAAATGAGTTCCCCCCACTAAGATCTCCTTTGACAGGTGGAGAAGGAAAAGTAGACGTTGAACCGGCGTTGACGGGAACCCTCCTGGAAAGAACAGCGCCGAAAATCAGCCCCCAGAGGTCGGATCCCGAACTTCAGCGTTACCGTCAACAATACGACGATGCTGATGAGGAGGAGTCTGACCTCCTGGTAGAGATGATGGACCTCATCAATAATATGGAGGGAACCTTGAAGCTCCGGACCAACGTAAACCGGTCAATCAAGGACGGTCTCCCAAAGGTGAAGGATCGGGTTGCCCGAGTTCTCTAAATTAAAGGCTTGATGAGACAGGCTTTAGTTAACGAACGGGAGCTTGTGAACCAAGTTTTAGCCCCTAAACTGAACGACAAGGGCGGGAATCAAAGGAAACGGGCAAGGAGCTCACCAGCGGATAGCCCCGATCTTCCTGAATTGGCCAATCAGTCTCTGTCAGATGTCGAGCAGAAGGTCGAGGACAGGGCCACCCAGATGACACCCCCTACTGAGCACACTCCAGCTCTAAAGAAGCGCCCTCAGCAAACCAGGGAGCTTGCCTCTCTCCCAACGGTTGACGGAAGCAGCTCTATGAACTCTGCTGTGGCACCATCAAATGTGGGTAACTGGGAGAAGAGGCTTTCCCTAACAAAGAACCTGCAGCAAGAAATCGAAAGGTTGCTGACCCTGCTCCGGCGAGGGAGGTTCGTGGAAAGGCCCCCCCTGTTTCAAAGAAACCCAGGCCGAGAAAGCCCAGGGCTGAGGCAATCCTGATCAACCCCTTAGGGGGGCGATCTTTTGCTGAAGTCTTGGGTCGACTCAAGTCTAAGGCCAAACCAGAGGAGACGGATACGATTGTTAAGTCAATCAGGTGTACCCAGAATGGGAAAGTTCTCCTCGAGCTGGGGAAATCTGGTGACCGAGTGGCTTTTGCTGCAAAGGTCAGAGAGGCTCTGGGGGACCACGGTACCGTTCGGGAACTCGAGCCTAGGACCTCGGTGGAGATCCGGGACCTTGACGGTCTTTCGACTGAGGCTGAAGTCAGGGAGGCTATCAACAAGGCCATCCCTGATATTCAAAATGCTGACTCCCTTAAAGTATGGCTTACGCGGCCCAACCGCAGTGAGCAACGCATAGCTATCGCTGAAATGCGAAACCAAGATGCCAGCAAGCTGCTTAATCTCATACACCTGAGAATTGGATGGGTCAATTGCAGGCTCAGACGGAGGGTGGTTGTACCGCGATGCTTTCGCTGCCTCGGGTTTGGTCACTCTTCCCGAAACTGTAAGGGACCCGACCTATCCAAGAATTGTTTCAGGTGTGGCGGCTCGGGCCACAACAGGAAGAACTGTACCGCAGCAGAGCGTTGTTTTCTCTGCGCAGAGAAAGGCCAAAAGGACGCCTCATTAGGTCACATCCCAGGGGCTGGGCGATGCAGTGTTTTCAAGGCTGCACTCGACCTTGAGAAGGCTAGGTCTAGGAAGTGAGGATTCTCCAGGGTAACCTTGAGAGGTCCAGAACGGCTGACTCCCTCTTAGATCAGCTGGCCCAAGAGATCGGTGCGGACACCCTTCTGATCAGCGAGCAGTACCGTGACAGGGACCCACACTTCTGGTTCCCAGATTCTCTTGGTACTGCCGCTTGTTGGGTTCGAAACAGCACGGAAGCACCAGTGCGAGATCACGGACGCGGCCGAGGCTTCGTTTGGGTCAGGTGTAGGGACGTCACGTTTTTTAGTGTCTACCTTACCCCCAACGAGCCAATTCGGGAATTCCGTCTGAAGATTGACCGCTTAGAAGACAGTGTACGGGGTACCGTTGGGCATGTCGTTGTTGCTGGTGATTTTAATGCGAGGGCTGTGGAGTGGGGTATGACCTCTACAAACTCCCGGGGGAAATACATCCTGGACTTTGCCGCCAGGGCCGGACTTGTCGTCTTAAACGAGGGCGACACGCCTACTTTCCGGCGCCCCGGCATGAGAGGTACGATCCCCGATATCTCCTTCTCGTCGGAATCACTACTAGCACGGATCTCCAACTGGAGAGTCATCGAAGACCTCACGGCAAGTGATCATCAGTACATCGTTTTTGATATACTGGATGAACACCATAATCAGGCGCCTGTATCACGATCTGGACCACGCCGATGGAATACGGACAATCTGGATGTTGAGAAGTTCACTGACGTAATCTCACGGGGAGCGCTGGTGAATTCTGCTGCACCTGTTGACGCCGAGGCATTGGTATCGTCCACGATGGAACTGATTGTCTCGGCTTGTGACCAGGCCATGCCACGCAGGGGACGCCGTCGCGATAAGCAAGCTGTGTACTGGTGGACTTTAGAGATCTCGAACCTTCGGAAAGCTTGTCTGAAAGCCAGACGTGCCGCTATGAGGGCCAGAAGATTCCCGGATTTCGAGGCTAAGTCAGCGGCTTATAGGGCTGCGAAGAAAGCTCTTCGTCGGGCTATCACCAGGAGCAAGGTTAGCTGTTGGAGGAGGCTTCAGGAGGATGTTGACTCTGATCCTTGGGGACTGGGCTACAAGGTTGTAACCCAGAAACTCGGCGCCCGATCACCACCTTCCGTCATGGAGGGCACCACCATTAACAGGATCGTCACCGCCCTCTTTCCGTCTCATCCTCGGCGGCCTTTTTTCGACTATGGCGAGGTAGGGGACATTCCACTCTTTAGCATTAAAGAGCTGGAATCATCTGTCCTCTCCCTGAAAAATAGAAAGGCGCCTGGTCCTGATGGTATTCCCAGTGAGGCTCTCAAGAAGGTATTCTCAGTTAACCCCCTCTTACTGCTGAGAATGTACAACACATGCCTGTGCGAAGGGGTTTTCCCAACTCCTTGGAAAAGGGCTAGGCTTGTGCTAATCAGCAAGGGGAAAGGTGACCCGAATATGCCGTCGTCTTACAGACCCCTCTGTATGTTGGATGTGGCCGGAAAACTCTTCGAGAAACTGATCCGCTGCCGCCTGACGTCTGCCGTGGAAGCTGCCGGAGATTTGTCTCCTCGTCAGTAAGGCTTCAGAAAGGGTCGGTCAACAATCGACGCGATATCTGAGGTACACAGAGCGGTAGAGCGTGCCGAGAGCTTCAATCATTACTCTCGCCGTATCGTGCTTCTTGTTACGCTAGATGTGAAGAACGCTTTTAACTCGGCGAGATGGGTCGATATGTTGAGCGCGTTGAGGAACAGCTTCCGCGTACCAGCATATCTGTTGAGGCTGATCGAGGACTACCTGCGCTGCAGAACTCTTAATTACGAAACTAAAGATGGTTCGCGGACGATGGATGTTACTTCCGGTGCCGCGCAAGGTTCGATACTCGGCCCAGATTTGTGGAACGCTGCCTACGACAGCCTTCCGAGATCTGAGATGCCAGAGGAGACCGTTTTAGTTGAGTACGCCGATGACGTCGCAGCCCTCATTTCTGCACGCAACGTTGAGCTAGCCCAACTGAAACTGAACCAAGTCATGCGCGTTGTAAACGCCTGGATGACTGATCATGGTCTGACACTCGCTCTGAGCAAGACAGAGATCGTCATCCTCACGAAAAAACGGATTGAAACCATCGTTCCGCTACGAGTTGGGAACGTAGTTGTCCAAACCACGCGAACCGCCAAGTACCTTGGTGTCATGGTGGACAACAAGTTGAGCTGAAGGGACCAGATCTTCCGTACGGCGGACAAGGCTGCTAGGAGTGTCGCTGCTCTTAGTAGACTTATGGCCAATGTCGGTGGTCCCCGGTCCAGCCGTAGAAGACTACTGATGTCTGCAGTCCAGTCCGTGCTTCTCTACGGCTCTGAGGTGTGGGCAGACGCGCTTAACAAGGAGGCGTATAGGTTGAGGCTCGCACGAGTGCAGCGTCAGGCGGCACTCAGGGTCGCTTCCGCGTACCGTACGGTGTCCGAACCGGCCGTTTTGGTGATCGCTGGAGTTATCCCAGTCAAACTCTTGGCAGCGGAGAGGAAGGCAATCTACCAGAGACAAGGCTACATCGGAAAGGACGCTGCAAGAACAGAAGAGCGCTCCCGCACTTTTCAGATGTGGCAAGAAAGCTGGGAAAGGGAGACTCGAGGACGTTGGACTGCCAGACTCATCAGGCAGGTCCAACCGTGGGTAGAACGGCGGCACGGTGAGGTTGACTATTACCTCACGCAGTTCTTGTCAGGTCACGGCTATTTTCAGTCGTACCTGCACTTGATGGCCAAAACGAATTCACCTGACTGCATTTACTGCCCATGCATTCCCGACGACGCGGAACACACTTTTTTCCGCTGTCCACAATGGGATATGCTTCGCCAGGATGCCATTCAACATCTTGGGGTGCTGTCGATTGAATCGATCTGTGAGACCTTGCTGAAGGGTGAGGACAACTGGGACTGCTGGTCGCACTTTGTCCGGAATGTCCTTCAAGCTAAAAAGAATGATCTAGATCGGAACATAGTCTAGATTTGATAAGAAACAAACGGCTAGACACGGTGTAAGCCCCTCGGGCGTAGGCAAACTCGGCCTAGTTCTGATGAAGTGCGACAAGTGTTCCCAGGCTAGTGTCCGAAGAGTAGAGGAGGTTTTTAGTGGGTAGTCTCTGGGCCTTAAGCCCGTTGGAGTCCCACACTACAGTCTAGCAACCTGTGTGCATAAATGCATTTTCCCACCTCTCCCAAAAAAAAAATAAATCTAAATAATGACTAGGGTGGTACCATGCACTGTTAATTTAGAACAGCTGGTTTACAAATTAAGATACCATACCATTTCTTTATAGCTGCAGAGAAAAACACTGTATTACACATAAGCATAATAATTCATTACCGTGAACCAAATGTACCTTACCATTAATTTTGGATACTGCAAGTGAACAATAATTCGTTTACGTGAACCAGACGTACCAGGCTTTAGACCCTGTAAATAGACATTTAATTTAATTTATAATCAGTGCTTGGAAGCCCACTTTGTCGGGTTACTGTAGGTAAACAAATTTTAACACGATCATAGTCGTTTTACATTTCAATTTAGACCGGTAAAACAAGATAGTATATTCGTACGTGTAACGTTATTTTCTAAGACCTGTGAAATGAAATTGTGCTTGTAAAGCAATATGAGAATGATTTAAGACTGGAAACTGCACCACAAATGTCCAAATCTCTCAGTGTCTTTGAGATGTGGAGTTGTTTGCAACAAACTGTCTGTTGCAGTGATAAATTATAGACTCAAGCTGGAGTTTGCAGGAGTTGTGACAGTTTACCAACTCCAGGTATGTGGCCAGTTCTACAGCATTCATAATAAGTAAGTAAAAAAACACAGTTTTTATGGATATTATGGTGGATTTGTTTTTTAATAATCAATGCGTTTTGAAAGTCATATGCATATAAGTATAAGTGTATAACATAAACTAAAATCTTTTACTAAAGCAATCAACTAATAAAAGATGATTAAATTTGCTTTGATATTTTAGTTTTTACTGATCCGACTGATATTGACGAGTCTAAGATTTTTGATATTTGATATTTGATGTATTATATACTAACAGCTTAATAATTAACCACAACCAATCTGGCTGAAAACAAATCATCTTCCAATAAAAAATATACTAAATGTAAAAACTAAAACATGTCTCGAAAAACTGATTACAGATTAGTAAGAAAATACTAACTGTTTAGTAATTTCTATATTTTAAATTATGGTTCACTGAAAGACAAATCTATACATAATTAATTTACAAAATCTTTAAACTATATTTTCATTATAAACTAACCTCTATTTATTGATACCGTGAGAGAGGACACCAGCTGTTAACTAAGTTGTTCTTGTTCTTCCTTCCGCTCCAACAGTTTCCGTTCACCTAAATTTCCCTTTGGTTTCAAACTTATTTTATGTATCAAAACATTTATTGTTTCGTAAATACCTAATTCAGTACCATTTTACATGCACTAATACAATGGATAAGTATTTTTGGTTTATTCAGAGAAGGCAGTTGCTTGGAGTCATTTACAGTAGCTTAACAAACTTGTTAAACATTTTATCCTTAAAATATTTAGCAAACAATATTGGATAACTAAATACGGTTAAGTTTCATACGCAACCGATTGGGGGACCGATGGCACTAGGTGACCAATGGTGTAAACCACATACAAGTTATTGTTCTCATTAGACAGCAACAACCACAGCAGCAACTATAGCATCAGCAACAACAATCAGCAACAACAACACAGAATATATCACAAGAATACCTGAATCCAAAAAATGTTAATAATAAATTCTGATCTTGTGTTTACGGCAACTATCTCAGGTAATGCAATTTCTCCTGCACTGATGATGATTTATCAGTCATTTGTCCTAGCCTGAAATCAAATTACCGCCAATTCTTCCAAAATCTCGTTTTCTCCCTCTCAATCCGACGTTAAAACAAGGTTACCAAAACCTAAACCAATGATAAGAGCAAGCTTCTGCAATTACATTCTGATTCGTTGGGTTTATTAGGCACATTAAGTAAATTAACTTGTATATCTTCATCTGAGGAAAGTTTGCATTTACGACAAAAATGGTATTGAAAGTAAAACCAATCTGGTACCTATAACTGGTACTTTTCCGTCTGGTTGTTTTAAAATCCAGGACTTAAATATTACTACAAATTGTTCAAGGTTCTAAAAATTTCCTTTCAAGAGAAAGATTGTATTTTATTTGCAATTTTAAACCCTAAAATAATAAATACCCCCGCCGCAGCAAACCTGCAGATTAAGTGAATTTCCATTTACCGGTTGGATTTCTACTAAAATATTCATTGTCAGATTTGTTTCCTATTTAAATAACATTTTAGTAAGTACTTAGGTTTTCTGCTACAGGGAAGGTAGCAGAGGTAGCTTAGTATGAAATAATCAAAATTGCCAAATTTAGTTAAAAAATATCCATAAAGAAGCAAACTACAATAGTTTTTTATTCTCCATAAGAATAACGTCGGAATTTTTAATTTACAATTTTTTTAAATTATCTTCATAACCGTTAGGCATGCAACAATGCTTTAATATACAAAATTATTTCTTTTTTTAAGCACTACAAAATGGTTTGGGAAGAAATTGTAAAATTTTGTGTTTTTAGTGTAAAAAGTGGGAAAACCCAATTTTACCCCATAAACCCTCCCATTAACCCCCATTCCCATAGTCCGATCATGCTGGTTTGCGAACTCGTTCGAGTAAACGTAGATTTACACGTTTGTACCAAATTTCATCAAATTTCATCGTATTTTTTCCCTCGAGTTATCGCGCTAACGGAATCTATCTAACATATGTGACATACGTGTGAATTTGAACGGATGGTGTTTTTGACCTCTGGGGACCTCAAAACTAAAAAGTAAATCAATCAAGGGTCTATGTCTTACCATGAGACCAACGATAATAGCTTATTCCTCCTATATGGGAAATTGGTTAAAACAGCTAAAGAAATAAATCAATTATGCTTACTGATTAATTATGTTTTACTGAACTCCTGTGAAGTTAATAAGGCATTTATTAGAATAAAATGTAATTTGCAAGAAATATTTATTTTAATAACACAAAACATTAGCTTTATTAGTTAGGGTTGCAATGAAAAAGTCACAATGACAAGCAGTTAATTAGCCATAAACACGAGGCCTACGGCTGTTCTGACTGTGTTCAATTACACGTTACCATGTTTTGTCTTGTCCAATTTACTTTCTGTGAAATAACAATGGATTCATCATTGTACTGACGCAATAAACAACAAATTATTGTATAATATGCCTGTCGATTAAACCTGTTCTTAAACAATAGTTATCCTTAATATGCATTTTTAAAATCTAAAAACAAAATACGTTCTCCAAAAAATTTGCAAGTTAGTACAAATCATCAGCATCACATTAACACAAATAAAGTTAACATTTTTCATGAACCACTTAAATAAATTAAACATAGCTCAAACGTCTATTAGTTTGTGGTGAATCCAAAACATTAGAAACGTCATTAAACTTGCCATATATCCAGGCCAAAACAACAACTCTAAGCTAA